CACACACACACACACACACACACACACACATATAAAGTGATGTTCTCTGGCAGAGGAAAGCTCAACAGGCATGACTTTCACTCCAGCAGCAAATCTTGAAAAATTCATGAGCCCAGAAACAAACTCGCCCTGTCTCGATGCGTTCTCTCCTCCCAGCTCTAATTTCCATCACTCTCGCTTTTTGTCTGTTTTTGTGCAGAATGAAGATCTTGTTGCCTTTCCACTAACATCGCTCTCCTTCCTCCGTATTTCTCTGACAAATTAAGTGCATCACCTTAATTTCCCCGCACGCTGTCGAGTCACTGAGCTGCCAAGATCTCATTTTATCAGGATACTTCATCAGCATTCGCTCTGCGTCTCAGCAGAGCTCCAACGCTGTAAAACATATTGGGAGCAGAGTTTTTGCCATTATTGCTTGCCAAAACGAGTCACGTCACAGGGCTCGTTTCTAAGAAGACGTGCTCGCGTGATAAACTGTGGTGAGATTTTAGCTGTAAAAATGCTGCCATTTAAAGAATTTACTGGTGGTGATAACTGAGAAAAGTTCCTCCAATCTCCCGTTTTATTCACGGGCATCTTCATGGACATTTTAAGATGTTCGAGTCAGCTGATCACCTGTTCACGAGCTGAGATTTAGACAGGTTTGCAGCTGACTTTGGCTGTTTTTATGCCAATTGTACGTTCACTCAATTTGATTCAAAAACCTTCTTGAACTCTGTTGCATTTTTAAAGCATCGGTCCTCCCAGCTGCAGGTCTGGGGTCACTGGGGTGCATTCAGAGTTTCTAGTAAATTAAATATTGTCTTAAAAAAGACATGCAGTGAGTTTCCATTAATAAAAAAACATGCATTTGTCAGACCTCTAACATATGTAACAACTTGATAGACAGACACTATAATATATGTGTATGCCAGATGTTTAATACAAGTGAGGCAAGCAGTCGTCTGTCTAAACCTGGACCACACATGTCATGTTGGGTTGCACATGGCATCTGTTGTTCCGGAGCTGCTCTACATTCCTGAATAAATGCATCTCACAGTTATGCAGTGGTCGTTAGTTTGGCTGCCTCTGATGAAGTATGTACCAAACATGTTCAGTAGGGGGCGTATTGGGACTGAGGACAGGCCATGTGGAGGTTTTCCTTCCTGCTGTGATTGGTGCTTGCTAGTAGAGGATTGTATGATTGGAGGGTTTTTTCCTCTAATATTGTAGGTCTGCACCTTCGCACTGTTTTGGATTTGGCGCTGTGTAAATAACATTTACTTGAAATGAACGGAAACAGCTGCGAGACCCGGCTGCTTCCATCCCTGCCATCCCATCGTTTCCACCGAGGACCATCAGAGGTGGTTCTCTGCTGCAGCAGCAGCTCCGATACTCCTGCTAGCATCCCGCACGTCTCCAGCCCGACCCCGGTCACCTTCAGCACAGATGATCTGAGCGTGCACTGTTTTTGTTGTGCGACCGCTGACGTGTGAATGCGTTTGTGTTCGTTAAGCAAACGACCGATCGTAACGTGATTAAAACCAATGACGTGGAACCGGAGCTGACTCAATGTTTTTGGGTTTCAAAGAACAGGGGTAGGCAACTCCAGGCCTCGAGTGCCGGTGTCCTGGAGGTTTTAGGTTTTTTATCTACTGTTCTGATTTTATCTGTTTTGATTTTATACACTGTTTTGTTTGTTTGTTTGTT